AGCATCCCTTCCTCAACTATAACAAGACTAAAGACTACAGACATAGTTACTGTAAAGTGCTTTATATGATAAAAAAGTGCCCCAGGGATAAATTGTTTAACATTTATTTGACCCTAAATTGGGTGGGAAGGGCGGGTGGTTTTTATTTTGGTCTTTTCCCCCCTCCCTCCCATTCAGCTTGCTGCAAAAGGCAGACTGTGCTTTGTACCGAGGAACGGACTGAACCATCTCGCAAGACTTGATTCCAGTGGTATGTCTGAGCACTGTGACAGATGACGTTGGCGTTTCCATTATATTGTACATACTTTTGAAATATTCTATTTAGCCATATTTTATAGGAGTATTAAAAAGTTATTGGCTAATTAATCACTTTTACACTTGTATAATTCAGAGCTTAGTTTCAAAAATAAATACGGCAAACAATATTTCTGTGTTCTGCTTGCGTTAGCATTTTGAAAAGCAACATTTAGAGAGTTAAACAGGCTGGTGTGGTCTGTACCCCTGCTCTCCTAACAGGTAGAACTGAAATGGCTTAATGTGCGACGCAGGCCAAACTCTGCTTCTACAGAAATGCGGGGAGGGGGCGGGAAGCAGCCCTCTCGCTGGCAGGCTGTGCCGTGTCCTGTTCCAAACGGCCGCAGTTTCACAGGGTCATGTGCACTTGCACTGCTCTGCTGTGGATTTGGCTCGCTGCACGCAAAAAAAGAATACGTCGCAGTCCCTGGTGAGCAAAAGCTCCTGGCAGCCAGTGTGGTTCTTGCTCTGCTTTTGTAATCATGGGTAAATATGGAGTGCTTGAACAGGGAACATGGCATCCAGCTGCCATCTGGGCTGGGGGAAAAGTTCTATTAACATTACTTATTACAAAAATTGAAAGTGTTCGTAGTCTCTTGCGTCAGTTTGTACAGGATCTTGCAAAGGATTGGAAACCAGGAGATGCGTTTGCTGATTAACTGTCTTGTGAAATTCTTGTATTTGATCACTCAGATCTGCATTTGGAAAAATCGTTTGGTTTTTTTTCTGGCTGCCTGGCATAAAAGACTTAGTTTCTAAAGGGATGATTGTTCGTGATTCTGAAAACTAGATCCGCTTAAGAAGTCTCCTTGGAAATGTGAGCTCTGAGCTCACCGATTCCTTTTGAAAAGACAGGCCGTAACCTCTGTGTTTTGGTTAGAAAAAGTAGTAATAGTCATCCTCTCACCAAGTACTTTAGAGGTGAAATGCACTACAGGAGCCCTGATTTGTTCTTCGCTGTTGACCAACAGATGAGCTTTCCCCAGCTACAGTAAGGTTCTTCATCTGCTCCGACTGAAATGCTGCATTACCTGCATGCCAACAGTGGCTCTTCCGTCCTGCTTGGCACTGGGCACAGCACCTGCAAATCAGCTTCGGGGCCTCAGCTGTGGATGGCAGGGAGCTGCACGTCCCGGGGAGATGTACATCCCGGGGAGCTCCATGTCCCAGGGAGCTGCACGTCCCGGGGAGCTGCACGTCCCAGCGAGATGCACG